TCCAATCCGAGTATGCCGTGTGATGGAAGGCGGCACTTTCAAATCTGATGTTAACGTTTTATTTTCCATCAATGTCGATTTTTATCATCGGACACTGTCTGGAGGGTAACGCAGGGAGGCGTCCAAATGAGATTACCTTTCAGTTGTTGAGCTAAATCTTTTCGAATTATGGTAACATTGGCGCCTGTTCGATGGTCATATTGCAAGGAACCCCATTGATATGTCCCATTAAGAAACGTCCTTTACTGCCGCCACTCACTGCAGAAACCTGAAACGGTTTATATTAGGGCCTTTCATTATCTGGCAACCTCCGCCCGCGAGATGGCCACTAATTAGCTTCCCTCTTTCTTGATAGGCGTTTTCATAACTTCCATGCTCTGCGATGCTTTGGAGTTCTGTCGTATGTGGCCTTCAGCACAACAGTTCCAACCAAATCCTCTACACGAGCAGCCATTTTATACCATGGCTTTTGGACTAGAGCAGCTCTGATTGGGTGGTGGTCTCTACAACTTGCTTGCTTTGCTGCCTCGAATTTCATGGTGCACATTAGGACGCTTTTTATGTCCTTGACATCCGCCATTCGCAGGGCTTTCTGTATTTCAGGATTGCGGATGCCGTCGATGAAGCATTGCAGGTACAACATTTCCTTTGTGTCTGTTGGGCACTCCTAAAAGGCGAGATAAGATAGCCTTTCAACATCCGTAGCAAGTTCCTGGACATCCGTGGGCATCTGTTGACGGGATTTTAATTGAAAGCTTGCTGTAGTCTTTTAAACACTTCTCCCCAAAGCTCAGCTCCAGTGCGCCGGACAAAGCTTCCAAATCTAGCCTTTTGTTTTCGGGAAGAGTCTGTAGGATATCCGAAGCGTCTGCTCTCACAGAAGCGGCGAGGTGACAGGCCTTAGCTTGGGGATCCCATCCATTCGCTTCTGCCACTATAGGAAATTGTGTCTTATAGACTTGTCAAATATCTTCCCATCATATGTGCATAAAATCAGAGAGGGATAAGCAAGCATGGGCAAAAGTTTAAAACCATTAGAATTGCTCCCTGCCGTCGCTACGAATTTCTTGAAGGTATCAACTTCTTTGAAGATTGCAGAAACCCTGTCATCAGTTTGTTGTTCCACGGAAGAAACGCTCTCTTCTATTTATTCTTTCACAGAACAAACTCTGTAATCGATTTGTTGATCCGCGGCAGAAACTCTCTCTTCTATTTTTTCTTTGACTAAAGAAACTTTCTCTTCAATTTGTCCAACTTTATTTTCAATCACGTCTATTCTGTTTTCCATAGGTTCAAAATTGTTTCCTATTATGCAGGTAGTTTCTCTTTTCATTTCTTCTTGACCTGCTTGAATCTTTTCTTGAATACCTTCCATTTCTTCTTTAACTGATTCTTGACCAGCTTCCATATTTCCTTGAAAGGCTTTCATCTCCTCTTTAACTGATTCTTGACTAGCTTTCCTCTTTTCTTGAGCGGTTTTCCTCTCTCCTTTAACTGATTCTTGACCTACTTTCCTCTTTACTTTAACTGAATCTTTCATTTCTTCTTTAAATGCAGCAAAGGCTGCCATCAGCTGTCTTAACAGCTCTTCCATCGCTCTTCTTATTGGAATTCATCCCGATTCCTAATACCAGAAAGTGTTGCACCTGTATGGGTTCGTATTAGATTGAATGCACAAGTCCAAAAAAAAGGTTCATGAAATTTCTTCTTATCAAAAGAAATATAATAGAACGCTGGACTTTCCTCAGAGATATTCGTACAATATCACGCAATATAATTAGTATATTGCGTTAATTAGTATATTGCGTATTATAATACTTTAAACTACTAAAACATTAAATAGAACGCAATCCACAGTGCAGAGAAGCTAATCCGACGACATTAACATTAGTTAACTAAATAACTACTCGCAATAACAATAAATAAGCAACCGAGCTGAGATGTTCTCTCGCTGCTTTTTATAGCTTTTTAAATCGGCCACGCCAGATAGTTCTAGCAATTTCTGGAAAGCAAAAAGAGTAGAATTACGGTTACAGCCAACATGGTAGTCAATTAAATTTATTCAAATTAAACATAAATTACCGAGATAAACTTTTATTCAAGGTTAAATGCACCTGCTCCTGTATTTTTACGGTATAGCTTTCTCTTAAAATATGCCACACGTTGCATTCATTGTAAGAGGAAATAAAATAATTTTAATTATAATTATGTTAAAAATATCTAACTAAATACAAAATTCGTAACAAAGTTATGACATATATATCCACTCTAAAATCTAAGTACTGCGTTTTGTTTCCCTAGTATTACCAATCTTCTTTCCTTTTATTTATTTAATTAATTAATTAACTATTTTACAAGGAAAAGTACTAATGCAGTAAGCTGTTATTTGATTTGCAATAAATTTATTTAATTAGGTCAAAACCAGCACGAACTGTAACTATATTTTAATAAAATTAAAATTTAACTTGCATATATGAATTACAGTGGGATGAATATAGGTGCTCATCCTTCTCGAAGATATCAAATCTCACCTCGAGTAAATTTGTTTCTGTAAAAATTTAACTATGCGGAAAAATAACCTTTTAAACAGATTTGTTATATATCAGAATATTTTCGAATATATTTTTTACATATTCAGGTATTGAAATTTACATTTACTGCAAGTTAATGCTCAGTGAAAATATTTAAAAAAAATTAGTGGACTTGAGTGAAATTATCTCTACATATAACAAAAGTAAGAGTCTGTCTGTCTGTGTGTGTCTTTCGTTTGTGCTGCGCGTAAGCTAATAGACCCAGGGTTACGAAATTTGGTTATTGAAGCTGTTTAACCAGGGAAGACTTTCTCCTCTTAACTAGATCAAATTTTAGGAAATATAGGATTTGTTCATTTTTGTTTCTCATAGTTCCAATTTCGTGCATTCGGCTTCTTAAGAGCTGTTAGGTTTTATGTTAAGTCCTTGTTAATGAGTCGAATTCACATCAAATATGAAGTCAATGCATCAAAATTTTAAAATATTCATAATAACGTATTTTTGCGTTTTTACCCATTGGAAATTATTAAAATTGCTGTATGTTTGTTTAGCGACTTGGGGGGGGGGAATTCGCAGGCGTCCAGTGCACCACCTGGCTACGCAAATATTTGGGAACACGGGTAGATAAACTATCGAGAAAAGTCTGTCTAAATAAGTCCAACACAAACCTTCTATTTCATTTGCTGAATTTCTGAAATTGTTTTTTTAGAAAACTGCGTAGGCGGGCTTCTCGTAATCTGCCAGTTTCGTAACTATGATATAATTCAATAAATATGTTTGTTTCTACAAAAATGAGTGTTTTGTAAATTGCTTCTTGATACGTTTTCTCGCTTAAGAGTTTAATATAACAGGAATGATAGGGAAAGTAAGTATTTTTATCAAATTAATATGTAAAGATTTCTTGGAAGTTTTATTTTCTTGGAAAAGTAAAGTCTCAGATCGAATTCTTAACGTTTTTATTAACGAATTCTCGATAAATGTCACTATGCGATAATCCTGAATCACACGGGAAAAAACAAAAGTTCCGAATGGTTTCAAGTGGCTTCGGTGAACAGATGGCTGCGCATTGGTTTAGCCGATAGAATAAATCAGTACATCGTCAGAAGATATGTTATATTTAATGTGCATATAACCTATCTTCTGACGAGTAAATCCTACGTCCTAAACTTATTGGAATGATAAGTTATACGCATTGTGTCCTTCTGCAATAATAATTCTATCAAAACCTAAATCTTCGATACCTGTTTAATGATTTTTATATTGTTTCAATTAAATTGTACAGAACCTATGCGTTTCAAACTAAATTCTGGCTCAGTATAGATTGTCAGGTGATTTATTGCTGTGTCTTAGTCTTCCAACTCAACTCAACTTCCGAAGTCAGAAGAATGTTAAAATAAACCTTTTTATTAGAACTTTGTAGAATCATTAGGTCTTTTTTTTTTTTTTTTTTTTTTCCTGTTTGAAGTAAGAGACAACCTTAGTGAGAGGCAAGAGGGGAATCAATCGATAAATCCTGGTGGCGACAAATTATCGTCTACCAGTTTTCAATCGGGAACCACTTGTGAAGTCATTAAGTTTTTTTTGAAGCTGGAAACATAAAACATCTGCATTGCCCTGGTCGGGATCCGAACATTAGACCTACCGATCGCTAGCTGGTCCAATTACATCACGAAGGTACGCGGTAAGAAGGGAGAAAATACTTTATGCCTCAACTTATGAAATGTCAGTGCCTTATGAAAACTATACATCATGTGTAGTACAGAACAATGCAACAGAACAGTATAAGTATGCAATTCAAAAGGCAAAGTCCTATTGTAAACTTTGGCTGAAGCCCTCTTATCACGCGATCAAACACAGCTAGACAAAGACTAAACTCTATTCTTATAAAACTAAGAGCTAAGTGTAAATAATTCGGAGAAAAATAATGGTCACTACCAACTGTCAGTCTTCTTTTAACTTCAGGAATTCCTTTCTTATATACGCTAATTTGCTAATAAAAAGATAATGGGTTACTAAACAGTACAAATTTACATAGTAAAATGTGATTCTTTTTTATTTCTTTATATTAAACATATCAATTAATATCCTATTACTTTTATCAAGCGCTTTCCTCTAAGATATTTTCTGACCTTCTGATCTTGAAAATACTTTTAACGGTGAAACGTTTGAGAAAGGAGCAGAGTGTACAACAGATAATTTCTGAAATGAACATTCTGCTTGTTTCGTAAATTCTTAAAATGTTTTCCTAGAAGGACTGCGCAGATGAACCTCTTGCAATCGGCCAATATTTGCATTTGTCTCTGGAAAGACATGCAACCCCTCTTCCCAATGATGCAATTCAATAAGTATGTTTGTTTCCCCATAAACGAGAGCGTTTTGAAAATTGCTCCGACCCGAGCTGATAAAAGAGCACTCAGCGATGCCGATAGCCATGACATCATTCCCGATACTCGAACGATAACAACTTCAAAATGTGAGGACGAGAACGGATCGTTCTTTTTGACTTATGGAGACTCAACGCAGCGAACCTATTTGTATTCCGAGTGAACCATGCTCGCCTATCGAGGAATGGCAGGATCTGGAGCAATTCTGGGGAGAAGCGAAACAACGTCTCCAGGATCCTGAGAGCCTGCCCCTATCAAGTAGCCTGGAGGAGCATCTCCTACATGATGATTACATTCCGACAGTGAAAGAAGAAAGCCTAGCAAAGGTAAGGCTTTAATAATTCGAGGTGATAACAATAAACTCATAAACTCAAAGTTCTGCTATTGCTGGATCAGAAACATGTCGGCTTGTAAGATCTGTCTCTGTGATTCCACATAAACTAAATTAGATCCTGTGCGATTTCTCGCACAGGTGTGAATTAAATACCAGCACAGAAGAAGGTGTAAAATAACCCTTTATTAATTCAAACTAATTTAACAAAAAGGCACGGACTTCTTGCTTTACAAAAACACCATCCACTTGCGGTGGAAATTAAACGTAGAATATAACACAAGTCAAACCTGAAAGAAATAGTCTAAGAACGCACTTAAGTTTACACCTAAGAGGTAGACTCACAGGAATCTAACCGGCGTGATCCTAATTTGATAAGGCCAAGAGGCTTACTAGCGTGACCGCGAAATAACAACGAAACGTGCGCTTGGTTAGCGAAACACGTTCTGAATAAACTGAAGATATTCACACGTTTAAATAGCACTTCACTTAACTTTAAATTTACATCCTAGCGAAAGAATGTGAGGGGAAGTTGAGATGTTATTTATTATGCAAAATAAGGAAAACCTTACAGGCTATTAAAATTAAGATAAAAGAAATGTACATAAGTAATACACATAACAGAAATGAAAATTGTCCTTTTCTTAAGGAATATATTTTTTAGATAATTATTTTTATTTAGATACCTATTTCTATACCTATTTGTTTGCTTCAATGAAATCTTGAAATTTATTTTTAGTCCCTGTCTACAGATTTTTTTTTTTTTTTAATTTTGTATGCCAACATACTTTCCAATGATGGTACAATATTTCCTAGCGATTTTTCAAAATTTTATACATAGCTTACACAATGTTTACGAGATTTTTGCAGATTTTATATACACATCTTAGTTTAAAAATCAAACTATCATAACAGAACTTTGATCATTGCACTATCGGACATATTTTTTCCAAGAAAATGTGTTCCGAATTTCTAATATACTGATTGTTTATTTTTCCCAAAATGTTATTTCTAAAGAATTAAATGTTACTTCTAAAAGAATTAAATAATGAAGAACCTGCATATATGTACGTATGCTCCTCGCATTGTGAAGAAATAACGGTACCCAGCGCCATCAAATTTAAAACAATGTTGTCCTCCATCCGAACATGTGCACCTGGAAATTAAGCCCGAATTTTGAATTCCGAATTTGTTTTATCATTTACTTCATATTTTGTAATACTTTAATGAATTTTTGATTAACAAAGTCAACGATTTGAAAGCGAGTAGGGGCAACACTGTTCAAAACAAAACATTTTTATCTCCAGCGCACTAGATTGCTGCGATTCAGAAAAATGTAAGATATTTATTTATCTTTCACTTTTAATTAACAACTCGGCTGTATGAAAACAATGTGTTGCTGCGATTTGAAAGCGAGTAGGGGCAACACTGTTCAAAACAAAACATTTTTATCTCCAGCGCACTAGATTGCTGCGATTCAGAAAAATGTAAGATATTTATTTATCTTTCACTTTTAATTAACAAACTCGGCTGTATGAAAACAATGTGTTGCTGCGATTTGAAAGCGAGTAGGGGCAACACTGTTCAAAACAAAACATTTTTATCTCCAGCGCACTAGATTGCTGCGATTCAGAAAAATGTAAGATATTTATTTATCTTTCACTTTTAATTAACAAACTCGGCTGTATGAAAACAATGTGTTGCTGCGATTTGAAAGCGAGTAGGGGCAACACTGTTCAAAACAAAACATTTTTATCTCCAGCGCACTAGATTGCTGCGATTCAGAAAAATGTAAGATATTTATTTATCTTTCACTTTTAATTAACAAACTCGGCTGTATGAAAACAATGTGTTGCTGCGATTTGAAAGCGAGTAGGGGCAACACTGTTCAAAACAAAACATTTTTATCTCCAGCGCACTAGATTGCTGCGATTCAGAAAAATGTAAGATATTTATTTATCTTTCACTTTTAATTAACAAACTCGGCTGTATGAAAACAATGTGTTGCTGCGGCCGAAAATAACGTACTTTTAACTTCCGCGCGTAAGGGCGTTTGATATTCAGTAAACCCAGATACTTTCAAATTTAATCTGGAAGGTTATTGATTAATAAACTAAGCGATTTAAAAACAATAAACACATTTCTTAAGAATACATTTTTCTAGATTTAACGTGATTGATTTAAATAAACATTTTTAAAATCATTAAATGTCTAATTATGAATATTCAATATTTTATAAAATTACACTAGCTGGACCCATTGAAATCATCATATACTTTTTCTTTTTTAAGACAACTATTTTAGGCGACAGGACGCGCGAACAGCTACTTTTTAAAGAAATATTATTACGAATGCAAAAATATACATGACAACATCTAACATTCTAACGGGAATTCTAAACATATGCAGTTTTTAAGTGTTTTTACAGATTTTGCATATATGTACATTTTTTTTAAAAATTGCATGTGAAATTGTATTTTTTTTTTTATACAAATATAATGTAACATAAAGTGCTTGAAAGAGAACATGCTCTGCGGAAAAATAAGAATAAAGGGGCAAGTCATTAACATTGAGTAAATGGCTAACCCACTAAATTGGCGAGAATTTTGAAAACAAATTTTTGTCACCAAATTTTGTGAAATCGCCAAAAGTCGCCAAACTTGGTGACCACTTGAAGACATTTTGTTTAACTCCGTGTATAACTATAATGGGTACTGTAATTGAATAACTATAATTGATCTTATATGTAACTGTAACGATATCCGCCCCAAGCCTTCGAGTCATTTCGAGATGTGGAAGGTAGAAATTTTTCGACGGCTGGGAGAAAAGTATATAAGACCAGGCAGAATATCAATTTCTCTCAATCGACATTTAGTTCAGCATTGAGCACGGAGTCCAGAGATATGTCGATGTAAGGTTCGCCTCTTTCCAGGCTACCGAAAAATATGTAGCACCTTCCCCTTTTCTAAATTACTAGAAGGCATAAGAGGGTCGGATACGGTTACAGTTGCATATAGGATCAATTACAATACCCATTACAGTTATACAGGGATCGGACCAAAGTGTCGCCATATGGTTGCCAAGTTCGACAAATTTTGGCTTATCGCCAACCATCGCCAGCTTGGCGATATCTTACAGATTTAGCGAGATAGCCGCAGTGTTAAATAGACTTTCCCCTGTATTCTTATTTTACCGGCAAAGCACCTTTTCTTTCAAGTATTTCATGTTACATTATACAAAAAATATTACAATTTTAATACATAATTTCTGTTAGTTATTTAGATCTATACAAAATCCGTAACAAAACTTTGTATTTCGTTATTTAATTAAATTTTATGTGGTTTACGTGCGAAGAACGTGATATTTAATAAATAAAGTTAACACAAAAAATGTTACACACACTGGCCAATGAATTAGAAACCCAATAGAAATATTTTATTGGACCACCTTTTGGACGGATAACTGCTCTGATTCGTTTAGGCATACAATTTACATGCTCCTGGAGTACATTTACGTCCAGAGAATACCATCCATTGGTTATGCATCTTTTTAGATCTTGTAAAATTAGATGAAAGATACAATGCTGTCGAATACGCCTTTCCACCATATCCCACACAATTTCTATGGGGTTAAGATCTAGGCTATGCGGTGACTAAGGAAGATGTTAGAAGTCAGGGTGATCAGCAAACTAATTTTGAACAATTCTGGCACCATGTACAGTTGCATTATCGTCCATGAAGTATCCGTCGCCATGAGGCTAAAAATGCAACATTGCAGGGTGCACTTGATTTGCCAGTATATCTAGGTATACCCCTGAGGAACACCAGGGCACCACTTCCGTGCCAATAGAATACACCCCATATCATGATAATCTCACCAGACCCTTGCACTGTGCGAGTAAGGTAAGATGGGTTCATAGCTTTATGGAGTTCTCGCCAAATTCGACGTCTTCCATCAGTGCAAAATAAGGTGTAGCTTCATCCGACTACATCACCCGTTTTCAGTCCTCAGATGCCTAGTGTCTTCTTTCCCGACACCACTGCAAACGAATTCTTGCGTGTCGGGCAGAAATGGAGTGGTTTTCTCACAGGCAGCCGACTATGCATTCCTATCCTCTGCAATTCTCTGCACGTGGTTCGAGCTGGAATCTGTTGGGAAAGCCATGGTTGACGATCTGTGTGAGTTGAAGCACAGTAGAGTCCCTGTTCTGCCGTACAGTTTGCTGTCTTCGAAATTGAAGCCCATGTTAAACGGTCACCAACAATAAGCCCTTTTTCAAAAGGTGAAAAATCTGTTGTTTTTCCCATTTCACTTCATTCATCGTGGAAAAAACTCTTACACCTTACTTATACCAGCATTCTAACCACGTGTTAACCCACGCCATAAAAAAAAATTCAACACTTTATCCCTAGCCAGCCACACATTCAAATGAAAATCTCAGATCCATTCGCCTGTGTGTGTAACAATGAAAAGACAAAAGAAAATGTTTTGTAAGCCATCTTACTGAGAAAAATGAATATTAATATGGTGTACAGTGAAAAGACTGCAAAAAATTGAAAAATATGCGCCAACACTTAATACTGCATCGGTAATTCTAAACATACGCTGCTATGCTGCTTTTAAAATTTTTGTGGTTTTGTTGTTGAATTGAATGGCATAAGCAAGAAGAAAAGGATGCTTAATAATAAAACTAAAAAGACAATAAAAGAATGGATTAGCACGAGTAGGCTGGTAGAGAACAAACTTAGCCGAGAGGGTAAGAAACCCTTTCGGGCGACCGGTGAAATCTGAAACGTTTCAGAATTTTTTTATATTTCCCCCCTCTCCGGTTTTGGGGTTCTGTATTTGCTGAGTATTTGATCAACTTCGTAAAGATGATTTAGATACAAATTGTCGTATTTAAATTTTCTAGTTTAAATTCTTACCATTCCAGGTGACCTTTCACCTGCCAGTGATAAGCTGGAGTTTTGCATTTAAAAAATCGCTTTCTGAAAT